TCTGGGGGTGACTTCCTCCTTCTCACGAGTTACTCCTGGCAGTGCTCAGAGAATATCGGGGATGGGAGGAAGAGGGATTACGGGATGCCGGGGATCGAACACGGGGTGACTGTGTTGAAGGCAGATATGCTACAAGCGTGCTACTCTCGCCCTGACCCCACGATGGTTTTTCACACGGCGTGCCCCCCCCCCACACCCCAGAGGCCTCAGTTGCTGTCCTCATGCCCACCCGCTCTTTCTGGTGTCTGAGACCAGCCCAGGGGGGCAGGCTGCTGAGTGTGTGTAAACCCCCCCCACCCCCCCACCCGGTCGGCTGATCCCCATTTTCTCATTTCTCGCCCATCTTGGGGAAGTGGCCGAGTCCCAGTTTTCCTTTCCCGGGTCTCCTTGGGACGGGGTCTTTTCCCACAGTGTGTTTCATCGCTCAGAGCCGGGGTCACCCACCGGTTCGAGAGCCCTGCCCGTGGCCAGCGCCGTAATCTGTCTGTGTTTTCCTGTAGGTACTCTCTCGGCGGCGGTGGACCATCATCCCATTGAAATCCCGTTGGCATTTGGGTTTTTTTTTTTTTTCCCTTTTTTCCTCCTCCTCTTCCTCCTCTTCTGTTCAAGCCAACCAGAGCCTTTGCCGATGCTGAGAAGGGGCACCTCCGAGGTGGAGGGTCGCCCTGCCGGCCCTGGGGGGGACACACAGTGCTTGCTTCCTCCCACTTCCCCCCCCCGCCCGCCCCTGGCCTTGGCCAGGCACCCGCCGTCTAAAATGGGGTGGGTGGGGCCCCTTCGGCGATGGCTTCCATTCGTTTCTCTTCATTTCGAATTTTTAAACCATCTTGCACATATCTTGGAGAAGTGTCTTTGCAAACGAAAGCAAACCCCCGAAATGTATATTTGGGATCACAAGGCAAACGGAAGAAATGAAACCTCAGGTATCCTGCTTTAAAGGGGGGCCTCCCGCCCCTGCCCCGGGCCGGAGGTCACGCCGGTGGATCTGTGTACAGATTTGTATATATATAAGCCTCATTTTTACCGAAACCCTGTGGGCGCACATCAAGAATCACTGTGTACAAAAAAAAAAAAAAAACCACAAACAAAAAAAAAATGGTGGCCTAGTGCTTCTGTAGATAATGTCCGTGGAGTAAATATTTGACAGGCCAACGCTTGAGTCTCTTGCCTTGCCTTTATTACCTGTAAATTTTTGAATTCTGTGACCAGTGATTGGGGTTTTATTTTGTATCTGCAGGGTTTGCCATTAATAATAATTAATGCCCCTCTTAGGGAATTTGTACCTCAACCGGAACGCCCCGCCCTCGCGTCTGGCCCCGCCCCGCCCCTGGGTCCTCTGGACGCCCCGCCCCGCCCCCCCCTTGTGGATGGTACTATTTCTTAGTGTTTTCAATGGGAACCTCTGTCGCCTCCAGAAGCTTTAAGTGATTCTCTCCAGTTTCTCCCGGAGGCCCACCCTCGTCTTCCCCGTTGTTCTGGACTTGTGCCACGGGGCCTCGCCACCCTGACGCCACGTAGCATCTCTCCGCCCGCCCCCCCGCCCTCCCCAATCTGTCTGAATGCTCACCACGAATAAATTTTATAACACGCCTGCCTCGCACAGCCTCCTTGAACGGGACCCGGCGTGTGCACACCCCCCCCCCCCACCCACCCAGCACCTGCGGGCATCAAGCGAGCCTCTGCCTGCAGGGTGTGTGTGTGTGTGTGTGTGTGTGTGTGTGTGTGTGTAGGGGGGCAGGAGGCCTGGTCCCCCGCACACTGCCAGGAGTGATCTCAAGAGACAATGAAAACTCGCTTGAGCTCTTCCCAGGGACCCCTAAAACCTCAGGGTTTTCTTGCCCACCAGGAGCATGGGTCTGATGCTCTGCCAGCCGGGAGGACCAACCACATCTGGTGCCAAGAGGGAAAGTCTACCCCCGCTCCCCCCTCCCCCCGGGGACCTGCAGAAATGGCGCCTCCTTGAACCCCACTCCGTGCACCCCGAGTTCCCAAAGCAGTTGACCGTTCTGGCTAGTAGCACCGCCCTGGATGCAGCCGTGTGTTCCTGGCATCTCTACAGGGTGGTAGTTCTTGGCGTGGGGGTTGGACAAAGGGCCTGGGGCTATGAGCTGTGCCTGGTGGTGATGCCAAAGCATCTGTTTCCATCTTGCCCGGGTGTCACCTCGAAAGCAGGGGGAGAACCAGAGGGGCGGTGCCCAGCCTGCGTGCATTTCTGCCTTGGGGTTAATGAGCGCAGCTGTGAAACCCAGGGTGTGTTCTGGAGCCGGGGGTGGGGGTGGGGGCACACGGCTGACTGCCCCGTGGGGCACAGGCCCAAGATCAGCTTTGTCCACTGCAGGAGAAAGAGCTGGAGAATTGAAGTCGTGGCCCTGGGCTCCGCTGACGGGGTGGCGAGCGAGGGAGGGTGGGGGATAGTGAGTGGTGTGGGCGCTGACCCGTCTCCTCGCCCTCTGGGCTCTGCTGCCGGCGAGGCCAGCTGATGGCCACGAAGGCCTGGCAGGCCTGGCTCCTTAGGGGGTGTCCTAGAGCCTGGCCATCACCCTTGGGAAGAGAAGGCAGCAGGCAGGGTGGCCAGTAGCCGTGTTTTATTGGGGTGGGGGCTGTGTCACACCAGTGGTGGCGGGGGTCGAACCCAGAACTCCTGCATGCAAAGTGAATGGGGGGGGCTGAATCCGAGACCGCTGGGCAGTGAAAGGATTTTGAGGTGGTTTTGGTCGAGCAAATTGAGTTTACAGAGTGCGGAGACAGGTCAGGACCAGGTGAGCCTCCCTTGGGCTGCGCTAAGAGGGTCTCTCCTCGGAGGCCTTAAGTGAGGCGCCTTTATTTTGGTGGTTTTTCTTGGGCCACAGCAGGTGATGCTCAGGGCCGACTCCTGACTCTCCACTCTGGAGTCACTCGTGCCTGGTGCTTGGCCGCGTGCAAGGCAGATGCCCTCCCTGCGGCACTCTGGCTCCCAACCCCAGAGGCGTCTGTGTTTAGGGGGCATTTTTGCTGGCCCATTTCCCAGATCTCCAACGCTTTCCATGCTCCGTCCTGCAGGGCTGCCCGTGGTGCGAGGGGTCCGTTGTGTGACTGAATTGCCCGTAGCCTCATGCAGTTGGGTTCTGACGCTGCTGGCTGGAGAGAGGCCCGGGTTTGATCCCTGGCATCACACGTCCTGCTGGGCACAGCCAAGAACCCCCCCAAACCCACCCCAACCCCAGGCTACTTATGCAGGAACAAGGTGGCCAGACCCCCCCCCCCCCCCGCCACACTCACCAGCCCAGTGAAGCTCACAGAAATGAGTTTTATCATCCTGCGCCTGGTGCCTGGTTGGGAGACCCAACTCAGGCTTTGGGCCCTTGGCCACAACGCTCAAGTGTTTGTGTCGACTGCATCGCAGCCCCGTGCAGTGCCATGGGGGAGGGGACAGGGGCATCGTGGCCCTGTGCAGTGCCATGGGGGAGGGGACGGGGCATCGTGGCCCTGTGCAGTGCCATAGTGGGGGGGGGGGACAGGGGCATCACAGCCCTGTGCAGTGCCATGGTGGGGGAGCAGGGGCATCGCGGCCCCATGCAGTGCAATGGGGGCAACCAGGTGGGTGTGAATGGCAGATCCCCCATGTGTCCCTTTCATGCCTGTATCAGGAGATCCACGGGGTGTCCTGGCCTCTGTGCTGGTCAAGGATGGGGGCCGTCGCCTGCTAATCGGCCCTAGACCCCGTCCTGGGCTTCTAACCCAGCCCAGAATCTGCCCAACCACCCCCCAGCTGGACTTTGATTTCCTTTGACCCCACGGGAGGGGAGGTCCAGGAAGTAGGCTGAGATACCCTCCCCTCAGCCCTCATCGCTGCAAGGCCTCTTTCACCCCTTCCTCTGTTGCCCCTGTTCCTTGTGGGGTGGCAAGAAGCCCCAGGAGCGAGCTTGTCTTCCTGGGACCCCCACAGCCCCGTCTTGGCGCCATGCTCATGCCTGGGCTTCCCTGCACCTCTGTGGGCGCCAAAGTCAGTCTAGAATGTTCTGCCACCCCGGTGGGGGGGGATGGAGTGAGTGTTTCGAGGTCAGGCGTCTGCTCTGCCCCCCCCTCCCCCCCACACGAACAGTGACAGAGAGACGAGGCGGGTGCTGTTTGCCTTGAGACGTCAACTTGCTGGATTGTGGCGTGAGGTATTTTTATTCCCTTTCGTTAGTACTCGCGACCATGTGGTACATATCGTAAGGCAAAGGATGAACGACACAGCGCAGGTTCGCGCCCGCGGTGGGTAGGGGGGACCTGCCCAGAGGAGGGGGTCCCTCAAGGCCCCAGGCCTTTCTGGGGGTGGGGGGTGGTCTGGCCCAACACCCCATCCTCAGGGAATAGCAGCCACTCGGTGGCGGGCCTGGGCCAGAACTTTCTGGAACCCGTGTTCCCTGTGTGACCCGAGTGTCGGGGAGACACTGGGTCCCAGCGTGGCGAGCCCAGGCCCGGGGGGGGGGGAGGGGAGTCGGGGGAGGCGGCTACGAAGGAGAAGAGATGGTTGGTTCCACTCCAGGCTCTGCTCCTTCTCGCCTTACACTTATCTCTACCATTGGAGATGTGGCCCCATTGGTGGGGGGGGGTCTTCGGGGGCCGGGGGGGCCAGGCCCCCCAACCCCCAGCCCCCAGCACCGTCCGAGCCACAACTCTCCATCACGAAACGTCACGAACGGCCCCTCTGACGGCCAGACAGTTATTGCATGCTTGTGACAGACACACAGCAAAACGGCACAGCCCACACCCACCCACGGCACACGCGCGGCCCCACAACCCGCCACCGCCCGCCGAGAGGGAGACGGGGACCCTCCGGTCACTCGCACTCAGGTGGCTGGTGACCAGCGTCGGTGGGGCGCGCTGAGGCCCCCTGAACCCGGGAAGGAAGTCCTAAGCTAGTGTTATAAAAGTAGAAAGACTGGAAAAAAAAAAGAAAGAAATCTGAAAAATGAGCTCGTTCGCTTGTTTCAAGACTGTGCCAGGGATATTGGCAACACTGGGAAAAGATCCTGGTGTTTTTTTTCCTTTTTTTTAAAATGCAGCAGCCCAACGGGGGTGGGGTAGGGTGGGAGTTCCTTTTAAGAAAAAGAAGAGTGTTTGCCCTGTGTGGGGGAGGGGTGCGCCCGGCCTGCGGGAATTTGGCACTCTGGGAATGACGGGGTTAATACTGGCACACGCGACACCCCACACTCGCCCACACCCCGGGGGCCCCAGGGGGCCCCAGGCCGGACCACCAGAGGAGGCCACTGTTTGGAGGAGAAACGGCTGAAAAGACGAGTTAGAAAACGGTTCCGTGGGGCCCAGCCTCGGCTGTCCAGGGGCACACAGGAAGGAGTGTCCATCTGCGGGGGACTGTGGCCGGCTCGGCCCCCGGCCTGGGCACCGTCAGTACCCGTGGGACTCCCTGTGAGCCAGCGCGCGGGAGGCCGAGCAGGTGGCACTTCGGATCACCTCCATCCACCTGGAAAGGAGAGGTGAAGGCAGGGTGAGGCCGGCTCTCGCGTCCTGCTGTGGGCAGTGGGCCAGCCAGGAGTGGGACTTGAACTCTGGGCGGGGGGCTCCTCTGTGTGAGCCCGGGGGAGGGGTGCTAGGAAGCGCTTCTGGATTTTGTGGCGGTGCTCAGGGCTGACTCCCGGCTCTGTGCTCAGGGGCCACTCTGGGCAGGGCCAGGGGGGTGGGGGGGACCATCCGGGGTGTCGGGAGGGAACCCAGCTCGGCCATGTGCAAAGCGAACACCATCCCCACTTGACCAGTGAGTGCTGTTTGGGGGTGTCCACCGACCTCCCACCAGAGTTGTAAACAGCCCATGGGGGGCTTCAGAGTTAGCTCGTGGGGGGCTCAGCATCACGTTTGTAAGGGGGTGCAGGTGCAGCCTGAGGATGGCCTCTATTTCCTCCCTACCCCACTTTCTGGGGGGCTGGGGAGTGGTTCCGGTGGGCGTGTCCAGGCAGGAGGGAGCAAGCTCAAGTGGGCCAGAGGGACCGATCCCCTTCCTGGTTCTGGGGTTCCCCCAAGGCCGGGCCCCCCTTTACCTCTCGAACGTGTACTCGCTCTCGGCCCTGAAGTAGTACACGTGGGACTTGAAATGCAGCTTGAACACGTGCTCCTTGTGGATCTCCTCCGACTCGGCAGGGATCGTGAGCGAGTAGCCCAGCAGAGGCAGGCTGGCCAGCGGATGATTGTCCTGCACGGGACAGCGGTGTGATGGGGGCGCTGGGGACGGCCGGGCACCACCCCGTGCCCACCCGCCGCCGTCAGGGCACGGATCAGCCTTGCCTGTGCCCCCCCTCCCCCACCCCGCCCAGCCAGTACCTGGTGTGACTTGTAGAAGAAGAGGCAGAAGTTGGTGAAGACCACCCACAGCCTCTGCCACCCGTTGCTGTTCTTGAACTTCCTCAGCAGGTTCCCTGACAACTGATTCTGCAAGACGAAGGGTTCTGTCAGGCATGCACCCCCTGGCCCACTGTGCCTTCATTGAGCTCTTGCCCCTCATGGGCCTGGCCACCCCTGAGAAAATGGCAGGTGTGGCTCCAAACCACCTGCCATTTATATAAAACCCAACTCCCGGAAGAGAACAGCGCAGAATCTCCTGACCCCGCGCCTGGCTGTCCTCGCCAGGGCCCCTCGGAGAGGGGCGTGTTGAGTTTCCCTCCCCGCCCCACCCCGAGCAGAGCCCCGGCAGCCAAAGACCTCCAGAACCAGCCACCACCATGCTGAGACCACTCTCCACACACATGAAGGTACTGGCAGAGGAACAAAGGCATGCGGGTCCCGGGGCTGAGATCTCCAAGTCTGCTCAGATCGGGGCTGAGCATCCTCCACCCAGATCCTCCATCTTCCAGTAGGCAGGGGTCACACCTGCCAACTGCCCCCCCTCCCCCCCCCACCCCCCCGGCACCGTGTAATCCCATCAACGGCCAAGACCCAGAGACTATAAAACGTGCGGCATCTTATCTCATTCTTACTCTGGACAACCTGGCAGGCTACTGAATGTAACCTGCCCACACAGCAGAGTCTGGCAAACTCCCCGTGGCGTACCCAATGTGCCAAATACCAGTAACAATGATGGGTCTCATTCTCCTAACCCTGAAAGAGCCTTGAATGTGGCACTTTTTAGAATCTCAGGGCTAGGACGAAGGAGACGTTACTGGTGCCTGCTGGAGGAAATTGACGAACAACAGGATGATCATGATCCTGGCTCCAAACCAAGCCCACCCCCAATACTGCTGCAGTGGAAGGTCCATGGGCCGGTCAGTGGTGGGACCCCTGCCAAGCCGCGTGGAGCCCGGACCCCCGGAGAGTGACTGTGTCTAGACCTGTGATGGAGGAGAATGACCACTGAGGGGGCCCAGGGATCCCCCCGCCAGCCCCCTGCCCAGTGTCCATGGGGAGGAGCCAGCAGGAGGCCCCAGAACACTCTCCAGGTGAGTGGCAAGGGGGGGTCCTTGTCCATAGAGTATAGGGCGAGCTTTGGACACCTCCGCTTGGCACTTGGGCCTCCAGGGAAGGGAGAAAAAATGGAACTGGGCAGGGGTCCCCCAGGAAGGCCTCAGCCTCTGCTTCTGGGAACTCCAGAGCGGCTCCTGCCCGCCACCTAGTGGCCGCGTGCCGTTCCCGCAGGCGTTTCGGCACCGGCTTGGCAGAGCCCTGGGGTGCTCAAACTGAAGACACCTGAGCCATGGCTGTGTCCAGGCCCGGAAGGGACACCCACTGGCAGAAGATGCACAACCTCGGCGTCACTGACCAGAGGATTTGCCAGGGAGACTCTAGAGATCAAAGAGCTGCGATGGGACAGAATGTTCCAGAATGTTCCTGGGGTGCCTGAATCATTCCCTTAGGGGACGATGGAGTGGGGGTGGGGGGCTGGGAGGCAGCACAGCCCGGGGATGATCATACCTGAACGCATCCCATCTTAATTCTAATCTGGGCACCAGATCGAGGTGTCTGAGAATCCATGAATGGGCCCTTCAACATGTATTTGAAACCTCCAAGTTTAAAAACAAACAAAAAAGGCTGAAGGGCCACTTGCAAACTATAATAATCTTTGCTGGGACTTTTCTGCGTCCCTCTCTGTGCTAACTGGGGCAGTCACTGGTCCTGGGCTTCTACCCGAGTGTGGTGGGCACAGCAAATGCCTGTTCACAGCCTGGAGGGTGTGGTGGGGGAGGCCTGAGCAGAATGAGGATTTGGGGAGTGTCACTTCCTCTGCCTGGGGCCCAAAGCCACCTCTGAAACCGAGAAGTGAACCAGTTCCCCTTGAGTACAGCCATAGCCCATGGTTTAGGCCGGCATTTTCCCCACGGCTGATCCGTGGCACGCCTGCAGCAAGTAGTGGCCACCAGAAATTCCTTCTAGAACATACTTCCTGGCCTTCCCTTGTCCCCAGGCTGGGCCCTCGGCGTTGGCTTCATTCTCCAGTGGCAGATGCCCGGGCAACCCCTCCATCCATCTGTGGCCATGCTCCTACCCTGCCCTGGTGCCTCTTTGCCCTGAGCTGGTCACTAGTGCTTCCCTGTTCGACCCACACTCCATTTTCCCCTAAAGAAATGCCCACTGGCGAGTTAGAGTCACTGGCAGGAGAGCATGGGGGTTAGCACAAGAGGAACAGAATGGGGGTCTCCCTGCCCACCAACTCTGGAGGGACCCCTGGGCCTTTGGGAAAAGACCACCCTGCATCACAATCCGGCCAACTGGGAATCTGCAAATCAATTTTTTTTAGAGGGGGGTTGTTGGGGTTACTCCCAGGTGTGCTGTGGATTGAGCCAGGGTCCGGCTGTGTGCCAGGCCAGTGCCTGTTTAGTCCGTGTCCTATCTCTCCGACCCACAAACTGGAATCCTGACAAACGGAAAAATCAGTTGCTCAGATTGTGCAAACTAACTGATGATAATAAATAATAAAGCTTTAAGGCTGGCGGTGTGGTAGAGTACTTGGTAGGCACCACAACAAATCATGTAAGAACAGTGAAAGAAGCTTCTGCCCTCTCCAATACAGAAAAACTGCAAATGGATTCCTCCAGAGGCTGTTTTTAACAGTAGGTGGAGTTTAGAACAGGCCAGGAGGATATTCAATAAAAAGAGCATTGTTGGGGCTGGAGAGACAGTGTAAGTGGCACTCAGCCCCATCCCTGGCCGTCCAGGAGAGATTCCTGAGCACAGAGCCAGGAGTAAGCCCTGAGCTGTGGGTGTGGCCCAAAAACAGAAACAAACCCAGCTGTCAGTAAATACGACAGTTTTAAGAGATGATTCAGAAGCCCAAGAGCCTCCCCCCGCCCCTTCTTTTCCGGAAATGTGATGTGGCCTTCCCTGGACTTTCTGTTTGGGGTCCACACCAGGTGGTGCTACGGGCTTATTCCTAGCAGGACGTGGGGACCATATGGGGTACTCAGGTTGGTTTTCAAGGTAAGCGTCCTACCAGCTGTAGTATGGCTCTGCCCCCAGCAGACCAGCTGCTGCTCTAGCGTTCTGCTCTCTTCATTTAGGAGATTTAGGAATTCAGGACCGCTGGGCTTCTGTCTAGAACCTGCTGGCCCAGAATCACAAAACCCAGTAAACAGCTCCAGAATAGGTCAGGCTCGGCTACCCCCAAGAGATTTGGGAGAGAACCGGGTCATTTCAGAGTTTTCTAAGCTATGACACTTCCTGGAAAGAAGTGAAGGATGTAACAAGACTGGAAAATACTTTGGAAAAACGGGAAATCTGGGAGCTCCAAAAGATTCAGTCTCTACCTAGGGGTGCCGCCTGACCCACGCCCCCACTCGAGGGAGACCCGCAGGACCCTTGCAAGCAGTTTGCACTCCGTCCTCCTCGTGCACTCATGGGGAGTCAGGGGTGGGGTGGGGGCAGAAACCAGATTCGGTTAAACACACCAACAGCCAGCCTCTCTCCAGTGGGTTAAGTCCACAACAGAAAAGAGCCCAGTGCAGAGGTGGTGTCACGCGTGCGGCTTCCTAAGGTAAGTGTCCAGGTCCAGGAAGCCTGGAGTTGGCGTGGCCCCACCCAACTTTACCGGTATTGCCCTGCCCCAGATTTAGGTCTGCCCTTGCACAGCCCACCCTATATATGTAGCCCTGCCCCCAGGTAACCGCTGCCCTAGACATGGCCCAGCCCCATAAGAGGCCCCGCCCCATTACCCCTTCCCCAGCATTTATCCCCTGCGCTAAGAGCCTTGCCCTGGGCGGCCACGCCCTATATAGGCCCCGCCTCCGGTATTATGCTATCCTATAAGCAGGCCTGCCGTTGGTATAGCCCCGCCCTAGTGCAGCCATGCCCTCTACGTGGCCACGCCCCATAAGTAGCCCCACCCCCAGTTTTGCTTCTGCCCTGTAAATTGCCCTGCCCGGTGTAGTCCTGCCCCGGATATTGCCCTGCCCAAATCGCCCCACCCTGTGTGTGGTCCCACCCCGGAATATTACCTCGCCCTATACTTAGCCCCGCCCTACCCCCCGGGCATCACCCTGCCCTACGTATGGCCCCGCCCCTGAGTATCGCCCCGCCCTCACAGGTAGCCCCGCCCCGGCATCACCCGCCCTATAAGTAGCCCCGCCCCCGAGTATAGCCCCGCCCCCGGTATTACCGGCCCTATAAGTAGCCTCGCCCCGACATTGCCCCGCCTACATGTGGCCCCGCCCCTGGCCATCGCCCCGCCCCCCAGCCCCACGCCCTGCGCGCACCTCCACGGCCACGCTGAAGTCCACCATGGACACGCTGGTGTTGCGGTGCCAGCACACGTGCACCATGGTGTTCCCGCGGTGGGGGGCCTGGCGCTCCAGCGAGGTGCGCGAGGCGCTCAGGTCGTCCTCCGACTCCTGGTCGGCCGCTGTGGCCTCGTCGGGGGACTCTGCGGACAAAGATGGCCAAGAGCCCTGGTGAGCCGGGTCCACCAGTAAGAGGGGACACCGGCCTGCTCCGTGGCACGCACTCGGCACGTGCATCCACGACTAGGGGTTACCCTCCCCAACCTCCTGCTTGTCGGGAGCCCAGGATGGCCACCTACCGAGGGGCCCCCGGACGCCCACTCAGGTGCCACCTGCCCCCCACCTCTTCTTTCCATTCGTTTCAGAAAGCGGGAACTCCGAGGGGCCCAGCGCCTGCACTGCAGGCCCATAAGGAACCCCCACACCCTGCTGGACAGAACCCTGCGCCCCCACTCACTGTTGTCAGGGGGGCTGCTGGCCACGAACTCGGGCGTAGGGCCACTGCTCTTCTCCGCCAGGTCGATGGCCATCTGTATGTCCTCCACCCACTTTTCCATCTCCGACCGAGAGCTGGGGAGACACGGATGGGCCCGGGTCAGCTCTGGCCCCGCGGCCGGCGGCAGGGTGGAGGGCTGGGCGGGCATCCAGTTACCTGGCCGCCACGATGATGGACTGCCGCTGGCCCCTCAGGGTCAGGCAGTGTGGGACGCCCCATTCCTCCTCGCTCTCCTCCAGCTGTGGGCAGAGTTTGCATTAGTTAAGCCCCGAAGCCTGACCCGGGGCCCAGCGCTAACTAGCAGGCTCTAGGCTGACTTGGAAGCTGCAGACGGGGCAGGGGATGCCACGAAGCCAAGCTTGGGGGCAGAGCTGAAGTCGAGCACTAGGGCGTGGAGGGTGGACAATTCACAACCGAAAAGACAAAGGGAAGGTCAGAGCTGGGATTTTCTTTTTTCCTGGTTGAAGAGTAAAGTTTATCTTTTACACTTTGTTTAAAAAGACATTTATGGGGCCAGAGGATCGTAGAGTGGGTAGGGCATTTGCTTTGCACATGGCCGACCCGGATTCAATCCCTCGCATCCCATACGGTCCCCCAGGGCTGCCAGAAATAATTCCTGAGTGCAGAGCCAGGAATAACCCCTGAGCATCGCTGGGTGTGACCCAAAAAGCAAAAAAAAAGACATTTATGACAAAAACTTAATATTGTCTTGAGAAATGCTATGAATTGAATGTTTATGTACCCCCTTCCCTACCCCCCAATTCCTATGTGGAACTTGATGGAATTTTGTGTCTGTGTATGGTGGGCGGGGTCAGGGGAACGTTGACTGGCCCACACCTGGTGCTGCTCAGGGCTTAATCCTGAGAATCTGGACTCCTTTCCGCAGCCCGTAGGCTTATGCAGCCTGCCAGGTGCTTCCGAGTCGGGGCCACGGGGCCACGGGGCCACACATGCCACACATGCCACTGCAGGAGCACAGAACCCACCAGTCCCCCGCCACACTTGGGAATGGACAAGGGAGTTCTGGTCCAGGGAACCATCTTTCAGGGTCCTTCCCAACCTTCCAGGCCCCGGAGGGAGACCTTCTTATCATGAAGGTGCCTATTATGGGACCACGTCCGCTGGCCTTGCCTCTGCTTCTCGAGGGAACAGTGTCCACTTGCAGGGCCGGAGCCCTGTCCCAGCATCCTCTGGGCATCCCTAGCCAGACTCGGTCACTGCTGGCACCTGCGGCCCACACTCCCCCTCGTGCCCAGCCTGGTACCCACACTTCCTCCCGTGCCCAGCCCAGTGCCCGCGCTTCCTCCCATGCCCAGCCCTGTGCTCACCGTCATGCCATAGAGCGGGAGCTGCCCGTGCACCTTAAACTGGTTCCAGGCCGTCAGGCCCCTGCTCGTGTACAGTAGAACGTCGTTGAACTAGAGGGAGGATGACGGGAGCGGCTGAGAGGTGTGTTGGCAACTGCACATGTGGGTCGATGCTACGCAGCCCCCGCTGCTCCTAGGGCCTTCAGGGGGTCCTTCCCAGAGAGGGCCCACCCCAGGGGGGGAGGGGTTCCAGGTCCTCGAGGGGCCCTACAGTTCTCCTCACTCACCAGGAAGAACATTCGCTGCTGCAGGCCCTTCCCCGAGAGCTTGCTGAGGCTTCCCAGGCGAATAAACTCCTACCGAGGAAAGAGAAGGGGGTGTTGGCGGTAAGGGGCGGGCATTCACCTGAATCCTCCCTGTGGGGATCCCGGCTTCATAACCAGACTCTCTCTCTGCTGGGAATCCCAGTGATTGGGGCCGGGAGATGGTGACAGCAGTTTGGTGACCCCCTGTACCACACATGATCCCCACACCCCGAGCATTGCCGGGTGCAGCCTGAAAGCCCCAAGCACCATGGGGTGGCATTAAGGCCCAGGCAGCACTGCATCCTTGAGGCCCCATTGGCCAACGCCTCCCCTCTCACCGGAAACCAAACTTCCTGGCCATTGGGCTGGAGAGGCAGCAGAGGCGAGTAAGGCGCTGGCCTTGCAGCGACCAGCTCTGATTTGCAAAGAGCACAGCTGGGATGACTCACCGAGCACAGAGCCACGAGTACCTGCACGCACTGTCAATTGTGCCCCCTACTCAGCTCTCTCCCCCCACCCAAACACCACCAGTTGGGCTCAGGTGATAGCTCAGTGGGCTGGAGCACATGCCGACATATGGAAAGCCCCTGGGTTCCATCACTGGCAGCCCAAGCACTGTCTGGCAAGGCCCTGCGTGGGCTGAGCAGCACCATCTCTCCAGGCTGGAGCACCGACCGACTGGCTACAAGATCACTGGGCATTCCCAGGGCCCCCTGAGCACAGCTAGGGGAGCTGCCTTGCCCCAGGTCACAGGGGCTCCCCTTAGTATTTACGAGGCGGTGAAGTCGGCCAGCCAGGGCTGTGCATTGGCTCCACAGCCAGAGGAAACGCCCAGACTCAAGCTCAAGGTCCTCTGGGTATCTATCTCAGGGTGGGGGCCAGGGGAATCTGGAAACAGGTCAAATTCGGGTAAGTCTGAGGCTGGCCTGGATCCCAGTCCTGGGAGACCTCAGCAGGCAGAGCAGGATGGCTCTCTCCTCCAGGGGCTGCCCAGGGCTCTTCGTAACCAAGGGGCCGCAGGGAGAGTCCAGCGGGCAGGCATCCTGCCGGACCCAGGTGAACCACGGTCCCCTGAGCATTGCCCAGAGCCACTCTGAGCACAGAGCCAGGAATTGCCCCTGTGCACCACCAGCTCTGGCCTCCAAACAAACGATAACAAAGACACAGCACGGCCCGTCACAAACACAGGAGGGACGAAAGCGCTGGGATGTCCAGGCCTGGCAAGACGACAAGCCGCCCCTGGCTTTGTCCTGCAAACATTCACTCTGGGAACCCTCAGCTGCAGCAGCCAGTCAAGGGGACCCTAAATCCAGGCTAGCAAGGTCTCTCTGAAGTCCTCTCGGGTACTGTTCCAGCTGAGTTTAGTCTCTTTGGCTCTGCCCAATGTTGGCTCCCGGGACCTGTGCCAAGGCCACACGCAGAAGAATCACCCGGCTGAGCCCTGCCCCATTCCCGACTCACAAGACCTGAGGCTGTGTGCAGTTACTGTGTTTGGGGGGCCTTGGCGAGGATTCATAGACCCCTGGGACATGCTCCCCCCCTGAGGTTTCTCTACCATCGAAGCAGCTGTGCCTCAGCTAAGCCCACCCGCACTGCAGACACAACTCAGCTCTCTCTTTGTTCCTTTAAGAAATGGAAGTGATGACTGTATCTGCAGGGAAAAGTGGGGAACACTGTCCTGGAGGGCAACTAGAGCCACGGACGCGTGACTGTGGCCCGTGGGGCGGCGTGGTCAGTCAGCAGCACTGTGATGTGGAGAGACCCACAGGAGGGCTGGGCCGGGCTCTCGGCCAAGCCTCTGCCACTGGGATCGAGGGCTGAGACCCCCACATGCTACAGATTCTCCAGCTCCCAGCACACCTGCTTCCTGGTGGATCTGAAGGTGTCAGCAGGGCCCTTCGAGACCCTCAGCACAGGGACAAGGAGGGGGACTCAGAGAGAATGACCTGGGCTCAGGGTCTATGCTGGGCAGTCTGACACATGGCACCGCCTGGTTCGGTGTGCACCGCCAGGTGCAGCCCTGAAGACCCTCGAGCGCCCTGGGTGAGCCCCTACCACAGAACCCTCACAGCACCCTGTCCTCAGACCCTCGCATAGAACTGCCGTCCCAGCTAGCTGAGAGGCTGTGCTGCGTGGAGTGCTCCCCTGAGAGCAAGTGCCCGTGTGTGTGTGTGTGTGTGTGTGTGTGTGTGTGTGTGTGTGTGCGCGCATGCGAATGTGTGCATGCATGCGGGTGCATTAGTGCGTATGTGTGCATGCGTGTATGTGCATGCGTGCGTGTGTGGGGTCAAACCCAGACCCTGCTGCTTGCAGGCCGATACTCTACTGAGCCACGTCCCAGCCCCCAAACTGCATCTTTCACACACTGTCCCCACTTACCAACCACGTGATTTTTGCCTAGAATCAATCACCCTTTTACCCAAATCTTTTTTTTTCAAATAAAACTTGTTTTAAAGAGCTTGAGAAATTGAAAAGCAAACCATATATATAGAAAGAAAATGCTTATAACCCAGATATGATAATTCTTTGTATCTTCAGTATTAACATAAAATCTTTGTATCTACCGGCCCCCAAATAGGCCATGCCCACTTCTGTGGATGCCACGCCCACTTCTGTGGAGACCACGCCCACTTCTGCAGAGGCCCGCCCCTTACAGGTATCTGGTTTTTACCCAAATCTTAAAAAGAATGTTTCTTTTTCTTCTTTTTAAATTATTATTATTATTTTAAATTATTATTATTATTTAAATAATAATTAAAAAAATCTAGCTTGTTCTGTTGCCTGAACTTTGCCAGGGGCAGTGATTCCTTCCCCAGGCGTGTGGAAGCTGCCAGCAAGGGGGGTGGGGTGGGGTTGCTTCATTGCCCGCCCCCAACCCCGGAGCCCAGCCTAGAAGGACAGGGCTGGACAGATAAAGCTCAATGGGTAGAGTGGCTCTGCATGCAGGAGCCTCCATCTTCAGCCTCTCCCCCCGCCCCCCTCCAGCCCATACCACCAGGCATGGCCCCAAAACCCAAACCAAACCCCAGGGGAAAGGGTCCCAATGAAGTCCCCTCCAGGATGCCTTTTTGGGTTTCCTTGTGGCCCAAGCCGGCGGTGCTTTGGCCTTACCCTTCCTGGGACCACGAGATTGTCAATGCCGATCAAATCCTTCTTGAGCTCATGCAGCTTCTGGAAGTTTTCCATCTTGATCATGGTACCGTGCAGCTGGGCCACCATCTCTGTGATCTCTGCCAAGGCCGCTAGGGAAGGAAGCAGAAGTGTGTGTGTGTGTGTGTGTGTGTGTGTGTGTGTGTGGCGGGGGCTCTGTGAGCTTCACGGGCTCAGCTCTCTGGCGTTCCTGGGTTCCGGTGCTGGACGGGATGGACCTGGATCTTTCTAAGGGAAACGACGCCACTTCTCCGTGTGAGGAAAGCGGATGGAGTCCCTTTCGGGATCAGTTTGACTGTGTCTTCCGCAGGTCTCCGTGCACATGCCACGCTCATGCACATGTGGAGCACAACGGTCTGGTGAGGCAGAGACACGCGGACCAGAGTGCACAAATGCAAGCGCAGGGCAGGCATCTGCTCCTAGCCCTCCCTGCCCCTGCAGGGGGCAGTGGCACACGGGGCAAAGAGGGATGTTCCTGCCCTGAGACTCCCGAGCACCAGCCAGGAGCCTCCCGGGTCCTCAGTGCCCCCTCCTGCTGAGCGTGCCCTGTGGTGTGGGCCCTCTCCCCGAGGCTGGGGGCATCCAGGATGCCAAAGGAGCTCGCGGCCCGTCAGGGGAAGCCAGTGGCATGGCAGCCAGGAGGTGAGGGATTTGGGAGAAGAAAGCAAGAAATATGGGGTCAAATTTAAACATTTCAAGAGTCCTTGACCCCACTGGAAGGAAGCATTTCTGCCTTTCTAACTTTTCCAACCTCATTTAGTTGTCATGATGTCTGTCCCAGACATGGTTTCCTCTCTCTCTCTCTCTCTCTCTCTCTCTCTCTCTCTCACACACACACACACACACCACACTCTTCTACCTTCTAGAATGTTCTAGTCCCTTGTTCCCTTTGGAGGTATTGTTCCCGACTGTTCCACCTTCACCCAGGAAAGATCTTACTTATCCTTTAGCTATTTTTTTTCCTTTTTGGGTCACACCCAGCAATGCTCAGGGGTTACTCCTGGCTCTGCACTCAGGAATTACTCCTGGAAGTGCTGGGGGGACCATATGGGAGGCTGGAGATCAAACCCAGGTCAGCCGTGTGCAAGGCAAATGTCCTACCCACTGTACTATCACTCCTTTAGCTCTGAACTGAGACATCCTTTCCCTCCGAAAGCCTCTCGGAAGCTGGCCCCTAACGCACAGAGCACAGTGCCCACGGCCAGTCACCACCCAGGTGTCAGGGCCCCAGTGCCCACCAGCGGGCTCCGTGGTCAGGAGCCACCTCCTGAATCTCCCTAATACGGCGCACCTAGCAGATCGCAGATGCTTGGCCCTTCTGTGAATGTGAGACTGGCCAGGGGTCAAAGCAGGGGGAATGAAGACCCTCGCCACAGGGGTCAGGCTCCCCCCCCCCCCCGGGCAGTAAGAGCTGCTGACAAAATGCTGGTTAGAGAAGCTGCGGCAAGTCCTAAGATCTCCGATGCCCAGTGTGTAGGCTGGGTTGGGAGGCGAGGGGGATACGAGGGACTGAATTGGGACAGTTCTGGGCCGGGTCACAGGGTGTAGACACAAACAGACCACAGCGAAGATGAGACTGACAACTGAAGTATGAAAAGAGGCCCTGGGTTGCCGTGGGATGTCTGCTCTAAAACGCCAGCTCTGGGCTGGAGAGAGCAGTGGGCTGGGCGCTTGCCCTGCACAGAGCTGACCGGGTTCAATCCCCGGTGTCACATATGGTCCCTTGAGCTCCGCCAGGAGCGATTCCTGGGCACAGAGCACAGCCGAGTGTGGCCCCCAAACCCAAACCAAGTCAAACAGCTCCTCTGATCCTTCACTAGCCCGAGTAACACACACAAGGCCATGACCCTGCCGAGCCTCACTTTCCTCAGCGGTGAAATGGGACCACACTTTTCTATGGGGAGTGATGGGAATCAAGGCATTCTCATCAGTAAGGTCCCTTGCAGAGCCTCTGGGCCAGGGCCTGGGCTCAAGTGGTGACACAAGTCCTGCCTGCGTGCGCAGCTGTGGCTGGAGATGAGGAAAGCGCACTGGGGATAGAGAGCAGCGGAGGGATCATGGTTCACCATGGTTCACGGCCATGGTTCTCGTGAGGCGACTGGGGAGCATGGGACAGGACAGAGAAGTCATTCACAGGACCTGGCCATCATTCACAGGGGCAGGAGAGTCCTGGACACCTGGAGAGGGGTCTGGAACCATGTACCTTTTTGGTATAATAAACTAACTTACAATCTTCTGAGTATTGTATGCAAATTTTTCATAGACTTCTCAAGAACCCACCAGCACAGGAAAAAAAATCTCCTTTCATGCTAAATATATATACATATATATTTTGTGCTAATATATACGTATAATATAATATATACGCTATTAGGGTCTCTCAAAGAGGAATCGAAAGAGCTATGCTTGGAATATCACGATTCACTCAAATGAGATAGAATCCGGAGTTCTGATCTCCGTCAACGCTCAAGAATCAGGAATGCTGTCTCATTTGCCAATGCATCAAAAATCAGATGGGCTGGACACGTAATGAGGTTTACAGACAACCACTGGACTAGAGCCATTACTGACTGGATTCCATGGGACGTCAAAAGATCCCGTGGACGCCCACCTACAAGATGGTCAGACTTCTTCGTCAAGACCCTGAATGATCGGTTTGAGGCTCTGCATGTTTCTAGAACGAACAGATGCCATTGGGCTACGCTAGCACGCAACAGGGATGAATGGAGACGTTACTGGCACCCACTCGAGTAAATCGATGAATAACGGGGGATCAAGTGATCAAGCGATATATATTTAGCATGAAAGCAGATCACTGTCATCCCGTTGTTCATCAATTTGCTCGAGCACACATGTGCCAGTAACGTCTCTACCCCTCCCCTGAGATTTTAGCAGTTTCTAAATTTGTCTTTCCCAATGACTGGAGGCTCTTTTAGGGTCAGGGGAATGAGACTTGTTATAGTTACTGGTTTTGGAGTATCGAATACGCCACGGGGAGCTTGCCAGTCTCTGCTGTGCGGGATATATATGTGTGTGTGTGTGTGTATATATATATATATATATATTTTTTTTTTTTGGCAAGGCTGGGACCTCACATCAACAAGGCAAGTGCCCTTAGCTATATCCTCAGCCCGCCTTAGTCTCCTTTGGGGAAAGACCCAGAAAACGGATTCGGTACTAAAGCTTCGATCAGTCCTATAACGACTTGTAGCCGAGCATGCAGCCCATGTGACCCGGGCCCCGCCCCTTCGGGGAGGGACCACCCGTGGGCCCCGCCCCGCGCACGCGCCCTTGGCTCACCTCGGCAGTCCCGGAAGTCCGGGTGGCTGGGCGGGTGGTGCTTGCAGAGGCGCTCCAGTACCTGCTTGTAGTGCATGAGGCGGTGCAGTGGGCGCAGCAGGAAGGTGTTGAGTGGCAGGTAGCACACCTTCTGCAGCTCGAAGTCCCTGCACAGGTTCTCCAGCCGCCTGGAGCTCTTGATGTTGGTCTCCAGTGCCTCCAGCGCCTCGCTGTGCTGCCAGAGGTGAGCTGCCAGTTGCTGAAGGTGGGGGGCGGGGGGGTTGTGGAAAGACAAAGGATGGGGGATGCTCAGCCGAGCCCAGCGTGCACTGGAGACGGAGAGCACCCACTCTCGGTCATGCACCCCGTTTCTGACCCTCTCTTAGACTGGCACCCAGCGGTTTGACGACCAGAGCCAATCAGGAGCTGTATGGGGTGTCCATGGAGTCCTCATTTAAAGGCATCCTTAGCTTAAGGGAAGCTTCCAGCTTCTCTGAAGGATGCATATAATCATAGAATACAATGACGGAAGCCTTACGGGGCAGTGCCACGCCCTGTGTCACAAAAGCAGCGGCCTGGAGCCCGTGTTGGGCACTTCTGCCTTCCAAGTTAAAAACCAAACATTATCCGAGGACCAGCTGGGTCCTATCACAGTGGAGGTGAAAATGTTCTTTTAAAAATAAGACCAAACACAAACGGAGGGGGAATATATAAGCGAAGAAGCGTTCCTGTGGTTTCTTCTAAATGTCAGCAGATGGCAAACAGGACTCTCCGATGCAGGCGGCGCAGTTCAAAATAGCAGTTTCTGCTTAGCGCCCCACTTCACTCAAACAATAACTCTCCGAGGCTGCCAGGACGCTGCTAGGTTCCCCAGACTAGACAGAGAACCAGACACAGTTCCTACCCTGGGGCCAAGATTCTTGCTTCCAGAACCTTCCATGTGCTAGGTCAGTCTCTGCATTTCGTTTTCTTCCTATTTTATTATCATTTTTTGGGGGGGTGCCGGGGGACACACAGGTGGTGCTCAGGGCTTACCCCTGGTTCTGGGATCACTCCTGGTGGTGCTCAGGAGACCCTATGTGGTGTCAGGGGTCTGAGCAGGGCCAGGCGCATATGAGGCAAGCACCCTACCCACCACTATTGCCCCAGTCCTCGGGTCTGCACTTCTTGCAAGGTTCCGTTTTGGCAAGAACCCTGTTGAGCCGTTTCCCCGACTCTGTCGGGGCTGTCCGTGGGATCATTTGTGTGTGTGACTGAACCAGGTTCCATACCCTGAGCCTCTGTCCCGGCCATTTCCTCCTAAGACACCCCCAAGCCAGTCTCATCCCTGAGGTTTACTCTGGGGCTGCTCCCATCCCGTTAGTCCAGAACCTGGCAGATCCAAGGAGCTGGGAATGTGGTTCAGTGGTAGAGAACTTATCTTACCTATGTCAGGGACGGGGTGGGGGAGTCCAATCCCTGCCACTGAAAAAAAAAAAAACCAAACTTCTTTTTTCACTTTTGAGCCACTTTTGGTGATGCTGAAGGTTTACTCCTGGCTCTGAACTCGGGGATCACTTCTGGTGGGGCCCCAGGGACCATATAGGGTGCCAGAGATCGAACCTGAGTGGGCACCATGCAAGGCAGGTAAGTGCCCTAGCCTGGGAAATGATCTTTTCAAAGAGAACAAAGAGAAAGCGCCCCCTAGTGGCACCTGAGGTTACTACTGCCCTCGGATGGTTCCTGCACCCTGCCTCTTGGAAACTGGTTCACTTGTCCAGCTTCTCTGGTAGGTCTGCCCTCCTAGGCATCCCTGTGCTTGGCGATCAGCTACACATTGCCCCTGTCCATGGCCTTCGCCGTCCCAGAAGTCCTGAGATTCCTACACAGCTCCCAGCCAGTGGGCGTGGCGTGCTTTTGAGCAGACAGAATAACTGACTAGCAGGGCAGTGCTGGCCTCCAGATCGTGGTTTGTCTACATTGCTGTGCAAACAGGCTTCGAAGGTGCCATTCGCAGCTCATTCCTGTTGGTTTTTCTGGTCTTTGCTCTGACACTTCAAAATAAAAGCATGGAGAGGGGCTGGAGCCATAGCACAGCCGGTAAGGCACTTGTCTTGCATGCGCCCACCCTGGGTTCGATCCCGGGCACCCCATATGGTCCCCTGAGCACTGCCAGGAGTGATCCCTGAGTGCGGAGCCAGGAGTATTGCCGGGTGTAACCCCCGAAACTTAAAAAAAAAAAAACAACAGAACAAAAGCATTTAGAAAAGACAGAGGTGAGACAGCCACGGTGCAGCCAGGCCGTCTCCGAGTTGGTGGCGAGGCTCTTGTCTCTGTTGGCACGGAGGGGCTGCACCCATCTCCGGACACTCACCTTCATGCCCTGAATGTTCTTCAGCAGGACGTCTCCAATTCTTTGGTAATCACCTCGGATGTGTGCGTTGGAGCGTCCTTCCCTGGGAGCGGAGGAAAGGGAGGAAGGCAGAGGTGAGAACAGGGTGACCGTGAACCCTGCCTCTCCCCTGCCCCAGCACCATCCACCAGACCCTCCCTTTCTGGGGAGAGGGGAGGAGCCCGGGAAGGAGTTGGCTCCCTGGCCTGCAGGCCACGTGCCTGGGGAGAGCGGGGCAAGCCCTGCCCGCAGGGTCCGAGTCTCCCCCCCCCCCCATAGGCTCAGAGGACAGCGTGGAGTACAGGGGCCACTGGTAGCTCAGGACGCTGGCGCCAGCCCACGTTGGGGCCCTGCGCTGACTCTTTTTTTTTTTATTAATTTTTTTTTTAATTGAATCACTGTGGGATACACTTACAAGCTTTTATGTTTGAGTTTCAATCATACAATGATCCAACACCCATCCCTCCACCAGTGCACATTCTCCACCACCAACGTCCCCAGTATACCTTCCCCCCCACCCCCCGTCTCCTTGGCAGACAGTTTTCCCTGTACTCTCTACTTTTAGTCATTATAGTTTGCCGTACGGATACTGAGAGGCTATCTCATTTGGTCCTTTCTCTACTTTCGACACACATCTCCCCTCGCAAACGATTCCTCCAACCATCATTGTCTTAGAGATCCCTTCTCTATCCCAGCTGCCTTCTCCCCCAGCTCATGAGGCAGGCTTCCAACAATGGGGCAATATTCCTGGCCCTTGTGTCTACTGTCCTTGGAGGTCAGTCTCATACTATGTTATTTTCTGTTCCACAAGTGAGTGCAGTCCTTCTATGTCTGTTCCTCTCTTTCTGACTCATTTCACTTAGCACGATACCCTCTATGACCATCCACTTATAAGCAAATTTCATAACTTCATCTCTCCTAACAGCTGCATAGTACTCCATTCTGTAGATGTACCAAAGTTTCTTTAACCAGTGTCTGTTCTCAGGCACTCGGGTTGTTTCCAGATTCTGGCTATCATGAGCGGTTGCTGCAATGAACATACAGGTATAATATCATTTCTAACTGCCTGCACGGACTCTTGCGGACCAGTAAGACGCGCCTGCCAGAGCCAGGCTTCTGCTCACAGGAACCCGCGGCCTGGAAGGGAATTGGGTGCCCAGCTCTTGGGAAGAGGAGGAAGCAAGCAAGCAAGGGGAGGCGGCAATGGTGAGAGAGCACAGGACCAGCCCCTCCTGCGGCTGTGAGAGCAGGTGCTTCCTGAACCTGAGGCAGATTCATGTTTCTGTTTTTGTCTTTTATGAGTTTGGGCCACACCTGCAGTGCTCAGGGTTTACTCCTGACTCTGCGCTCGGGAATCATTCCTGATGGTGCTCAGGGGACCACATGGGATGCGGTGCCCAGAACGCTCAAGGCCAGTGCCTTCCAGCCCCTGATTTTCATGTTTTTCTGGGCTCCAGCCGACGGGGACCTCCCGGGGGCTTCAGTAGCAAAGCGTGGTATAATCACAGAGGCCCGGGCTAGGGCGACGCTCGCGGGCTGGGGTACAGGCTCTGCATGTAGGGGGTGCATGGGTTCCACCCCAGGCCCCACACAGCCCACCAAGCACTGCCCGGAGCAACCCCTAAGCACTGCCAGGTAGGGGCCCCCAGAGAGAAAAACGTTTGCAAGTGCTCATGAGTCCACACTGCCACAGGAATACACAGGGTATTAGCTGGGGTGGGGTGGCATGTGGCCAGGACCCCGGCCAATACATGTGGCTCTGTCCCTCCCACCCTTTGGCACTGGGTTCCAGAATGTGGCATCCGTTCTAGGGATATGGATGAGAACCGCCCCCAACGGCCCCAACGGCCCCGTGCCAGAAGTGACGCAGACGCAGAAGTTCCTGGCCCATGTTCTGCCACCACATCGATGCGTCCACAGGTGGATAGAAGAGTCAGAGGGGACCCGGGACACGACTCATCGATAGTCCCAGAATCCCAGAAGGAGGAGACGTCTTCCCGAGGGTCTGGAAGGCGGACGCCAGGCTCACTGTTGGGGTCACGCGGGGAACAACCACCTGGGCTCCGAGTGTCTGAGCTCCTCAGGGCTGGGTTATGAGCCGGCCACAGGCTGAACACACCCAGGCACGCATGCACACACACACACACATACACACACACACACCTGGTCCCCGATGTGTCAGCACCTCTCCAGTGCACCCAGGTGCACACACACACACACTCACTCATACCCCTGGTCCCCGATGTGTCAGCACCTCCTCAGCGCACCCTGGTGCGCGCACACACACACACACACACACACACACACACACACACTGGTCCCCAATGTGTCAGCACCTCCTCAGCATACCTAGGTGCGCGCGCACACACACACACACACACACTCACACACTCCTGGTCCCCGATGTGTCAGCACCTCCCCACTGGCGGGCTGTGCTCTGGGACCCCCTTCTCTCCCTCCTCCTGGAGGGCTGACTCCTCTGCTCAGAGGGCGCAGGCAGGCAGGCAGGTGTCAGCTGTCCTCATAAACTGTCCCCGGGCCAAGCGAGCACCCTGTATCCTAGCCTCCACCAGGGAAGCTCTCACCACTCATCAGGCAAGAGCAGGCAGGAGCCGGGCACTAGAGGGCGCCCTGGCCTCCTGGCTGTGCCCGGGGTTCTTGGCTTTACCTGCAGAAGCCCCCAGAGGTCCTGGGCCTAGGGGAGGTGGGGGAGGGCTGAGGGTCTGCAGCTCAGGTTTTGACTCCGCTCACCAGGGGCGGAGGTTGGAGGGGAAGCCTCAGAGGCAGGGGTGCCTCCTGGCGTGGCCGTGGGGCCTGACCACGACTTGGACACCTGCTGGCAGTGACCGGCCTGAAAGTCCCACCGGCTGGCTGAGACGCGTAGGACGGAAGCTCGCCTGCTTTTCTGGAATCTCTTTCTGCAAGTGGATCCCACCAATACCAAGGACACCAGATGCTTTTCTTGGGGGAGGTTTTGGGTCACAGCCGGCCGGGCGGACCCCTGGCTCGGTACTGCTGGGGTGACTCCTGGCAGGGCTCGGGGGGACTGTGCGGAGTGCCGAGGATCAAACTGTGGTCGGCTGTGTGCAAGGCCAGCGCCAGGTCACCCCTCTGGCCTGCCCGTGGCTTCTGAAGCACCCAGTCTTCCTTTGCAGCTAAGAAGTAGAGGCGAGGCACATATACTGCCCGAGCCCGTGTGTACTTGAACCCATGTGGCCGAGCACAGGTGGTCCTGCGAGCACATGTGTCGCCCACATCTCCCCTCTTGAGACGTGTACTTTCATGCTCTTGTGTCTAATGCTGGTATGTGTGTAGAGGCTCTCTCTGCCCTTGGAGAAGCCTGTGTACTCTCTTGAGCACGTTACTCTCTCTCACGCTCTCCCCCTCCACATCTTAAAAATCCTCCAAATAAATTCTGTTTATTCCCCCCCCCCCCCAAAAAAAAAGCAGAGGCTAAATGTCCTCGGATGTGGGACCGAGCAGAGTGCCTGGGGTGCTGGAGCACGTGTAGGAGCCCTGGGTTTGGTCTAAGACAGACCCTGAGCACTGACAGTGTGACCCCCAAACAAATACAAACAACAGGAGAGGCATTGGATGGATAGAGAGGAATCCGCCCAGGGCATTTCCCCCCAGAGCGAGATGCATCTAGGGCCTGGCCCTGGCGGCTGAGGCCTCACACTGGGCTGGGGGGGTGCGGTGGTGGGCAGCCATGGCCTGTCCTAGGTGGGGCTTCCACAGGGATCTGCACCCAGTGCCCATGGGAAGCCGTGCTCAGGATCATCACCCCCCCCCCCCCCACTCCCACCCGAGAACAGACATTCTGGGCCTCTCCAGCTATACCCCACCCCACCCCCACCCAGGCAGGCACTGTTTGGCTCTGGGAAGATGAGGCGACTAGCAGGCCCCAACTGAAGGCTCCCAGGCAGGTGGGGGAAGTAAGAATTGACTGACTGGGGCTGAAGCGATAGCACAGAGAGTAGAGCATTTGCCTTGCTGCTGACCCAGGTTCAAATCCCAGCATCCCATATGGCCCCCCTGAGCACCACTAGGAATAATTCCTGAGTGCAGAGCCAGGAGTAACCCCTGGCATTGCCAGGTGTGACCCCCCCCCCAACCAAAGAAAAAAAAGAATTGACTGATTAAATTTCTTTCTCTGCAGGGCCAAAGCAATAGTACAGTGGGTAGGGCATTTGGCTTGCACAGGGCTGACTTAGGTTTGATTCCTGACACCCCATGTGGTCCCCAAGTCCCTCTAGAAGTGATGCCTCAGTGCAGAAGCCCTGAGCACCTCCAGGGATGGCTCAAAACTTTTTTTTTCTGAGGGCCCGGTGTGATAGTACACCAGGTAGGTCACTTGCCTTGCACACGGCCAACCCAGGTTTAATCCCCGGAATCCAGTATTTGTCCTGCCAATGTGACCCCTGAGTGCAGAGCTAGGAGTCAGCCCTGAGCACCTCTGGGTGTGGCTCAAACACCAAGACAGGAAACAAATTAGAAAAAAAAGTTATTTCTCCCCTGCTCACAGTGCCAGTTATTTCTGCCCTGCTCACAGTAAGGCTTGGAGGAGGCGTTTTTCAGTTGCACCCATTTTCAAGGAGGCAGACCATACCCGTCATTTCTCCCCGCTGGGGGGTCTGAGGGAAGAGCCCCTCCCTGTCTCCCTCTAACCCACAGGAACTGGCTTCTGGGTAGAGAAGGCTGTGTTTTATTTCATGGACAGACTCCCTTGATCCCCGCACACTGCACACACAGGCTGTTTCCAGTGTTTCAGCTCCCACGGATTAAAACAGGCTTGGAAGGGAAATTAGTAGAATTAGGATTCAAGGTCGAAGTGTGTGAACGCTGGACTCTTAACATAGGAAGCAGCAGGAGATGTGTGTGTGTGTGTGCGCGCGCGCACGTGTATGCACATGTGTGCATGCGTGCGTGTGCGCGCGCGTGTGTGTGTGTGTGTGGTGGGGGGGGAAGTCAGCTCAAAGGGCTGAAGTTTTGCATACGGGACCCTCAAGTTTGAGGACATGCACAGAGACACGAGTGGTGCCTGAGCACTGCAGGAAACAGACACTTAACCCCAGATCCAGGAGGGGCATTTTACCCTCATCCCCAAAGTCCCGTAGCTGCTTCTGCTTTGAACAAGGCACCTGGTCCTTCCAGAAGGCTCCACTCTCTTCATTGTATCATTGGTCACACCTGGCTGTGCTCAGCGCTTACTCCTAGCTCTGCTCTCAGGGTGCCGTGGACTGAACTGGGTTCGGCTGCTTGCAGGGGAAAGTGCCTTCGCCCCTTACTCCCTTATTTTGGGAGAATCATACGGCACCATAAGAAAACACCCACTCCAGGTTGGGGAGATGGCTCGAGGGCTAGAACACGTGCTTTGAATGAGGGAGCCCCTGATTGATCCCCAACACCGCACGGTCCTCTGGTCACCACTTCTTCGGGATTATCTAAGCAAAACTCCATGTGACAAGACACATTTTATTTCTTTTTGGGGGCACCGCAGAAATTACCCCTGCCGGTACTTAAGGGTGCATAGGGATGCTGGGAATCGAACCTGGATCAGCTGCATGCAAGGCAAGCACCTTCCCTGCGGTGCTGTCCCTCCGGCCCCCAAGACGAGACACATTTTGAGAACTCGGAAGCAAAGGGGGCGGGGGGAGCTGAAGACGGGGCTGAGTCTGTGTCGGATTTACTCCCATCACTCCCGGGCCTGAAACCAGCCCCTCAGCTTTATCTCTGCTCCAGACCAGTGACACCAGGGATAACAACAACAACAACAACAAGGAAGTGTGAGGAAGAACATGAGCTAGAGAGAGGCGCAGGAGAGGCCGGAATCTTTCCCGGGAAAAGGGACCAGCTGGACTCACCACAGGGCGAGTCGTTGCTCAATTTCCTTGAGGAAGTTGGTGTGGAATTTGTGCAAAGGTTCGAAGTTGGGGAAGATGAGCGTCTTCAGCGTCTCGGGCACGGAGTCCTCTTTGGCCACGGTGCTCTGGAACCACTGCGGAGGGAGAGGGCCACACTGAGCCGGGCAAGAACTCCTGCCGGGGGCAGCAGCTTCTGGCGGGCCATGAGGCGGCACATGGCCACGTGGGTGGGGGCAGCGTCCGTGGCTTTCACTCCCAGGGCTGAGACACGCCCTCCTCTGCGATCACCACCCCACCGACTGTTTAATGCCATGATCGGGGCATGTGGCCACGGGGCTCCCCGTCGGGGTTAAGACACAGAAACTTCAGGACCAGCCATGTGAGTCTGCGCCACAGGCTGTGGCTCAAATCAGTGCTCCCGTCCCAGGGATTGCCAGGACCGTGGCCCTCCCTGGTGGTCCCACCTTCTGTTGCAACCCCCCTCATCCTACCCAATTCTACCCCAGAAGCTTCCCTAGGATATCCTGGGGGCCCACGGCAGGGGTGATCTAGCCCCAGTTGAGAAACGCTGTTCTGGGTGACTCCTGAACATCACTACCTCTCTGCTCCTGCTTTTTTTTTTTTTTTTTTTTGGGTCACACCCGGTGATGCTCAGGGGTTCCTCCTGGCTCTGCACTTAGGAATTACTCCTGGTGGTGCTCGGGGAACGATATGGGATGCCGGGGATCGAACCTGGCTCAGCTGCTTACAAGGCAAACACCCTACCCGCTGTGCTATGGTCCCGGCAGCCTCTCTGCTCCTGGGACAATGGCAACTCTGAGGGCTGGGAGGTGGCACAGTGGCAAGGCCTGGTATGTATAAAGCCCCAGGGGAAACCTATGGGATGATCGGGATCGAACCAGGGTCAGCCGACTGCAAAGCAAGCACCCTACTCACTGTACTGTGGCTCCAGGCCCACAAAACCACACAATTCTAAAAAAAAAAGAAAAAAGAAAAAAAAAGAAAAAAAAAAGTGTGTGTGTGTTGGGGCCATTCAGAGTGACGCTTGGGGAATTGTGTAAGGAGCAGACTTGAGGCTCCGGCATGCAGAACATTTAACCCAGAGGTAGTTTAAAGGGGGGAGAGAAGCCCTCTGCCCTCAGTCTCTCCTTGTCCTGAGGTGGGGGTGGTCTGCCCACCCCTTCGCCCCCAATGCTGAGGTTCTGCTCAGGCACATGGTCCCTCACCCCTTGCTCCCAAAGGCAGAGTAATGAGGGACTTCCCCCCCCCCCCCCCCCCCCCCCGTCTGTCCTTCCAGAATCCAGAGCTCAGACAGCTGCCAAACCCACCGACGGATCAAAAGCCTGAAATAAAAGCAGTTTTCTGGCAGACGCGGCTGGCTGGGCTCAGTGCAGCATCAAAGAGAAAACGGGCCTTCCACTCGGAGACCTTGGCCCAGAATGTTCCGCTGCAGTGCATGCAGACCGTGACCCTCCACTGCAGCGCTTGTCCCCGTCAGGGAGGGCTGTTTGACCCCCAGCGCCCACGGTTCCTGAGCACGAAGCCGAAGTGTCCTTGAGTACTGCTAGGCGTGGCCCCAAAGAAAACAGAAGCCCACAGTTCTTTTTCTGTTTGTTTTGGGGCCACATCCGGCAGTGCTCAGGGATCACTCCTGGCTCTGCACTCAGGCATCACTCCTGATAGTGCTCGGGGAACCCCATGGGATGCCGGGGATTGAGCCTGAGTTGGCCACCTGCAAGGCAGCTGCCCTCCCAGCTGTACTATTGCTCCAGCCCCATAAAATCTCACAATGCTAAAAAAAAAGTGTGTGTGCATTTGCGTGTGTGTGTGTGTGTGTGTGTGTGTGTGTGTGTGTGTGTAAGGGCATCCACACTGACTCTTGGGGAATTGTGTAAGGATTTGGGAGCTCCGGCATGCAAAGCGTCAGCTGCACCCTCTCTTTGAGTCATCTCCCAGGTCCAACAATTGTTAATTTAAAAAAAATTTTTTTTGCTTTTTGGGTCACACCCAGCGATGCTTTGGGTCACACTCCTGGCTCATGCACTCAGGAATCACTCCTGGCGGTGCTTGGGGGACCATATGGGATGCTGGGAATTGAACCTGTGTTGGCCATGTTGGCTGCGTGCAAGGCAAACGCCCTACCCGCTGTGCTATCGCTCCAGCCCCAACAATTGTTAATTTTTTAAGGCTACACCCAGTGGGGCTCAGGGGTTCTTCCAGGTTCTATGCTCAGAAGTGAGCCCTGGTTGGAGCTCTCGGGCACAGATGCAGTGCTGGGTAGCAAACTGGAGCTGGCTGGGCACAAAGCCAGAGTCTTACCGTCTGGACTATCTTTGGGGGCCCGACAATGACCAACACCTCTGGATTCGATTCTGAATTCAATGCAGGAAACCCGTCTAATTTTGGGAGTCCAGGCCCAAAGCCATCTGTTTTCCTGCAGTGCCCACTGGGCCAGGGGCTCCACGTACATACCGAAGTGATGACTTCAAGGTCCTTCAGGTAGGTCCTCTCCGTGGTGGACACCTCCTTCGCCATGAAGTACGCTTTGTCCGTGGGGAGCCTCTGAAAACCCAGAAGCACAGACACAAGGGGCCTATGAGTGGAGGACAGAGAAACCCCCATGCTAGCCATGCCCTGATGAAAGTGAGTCCTGCACTCTGAGGCCAGACTGACAAGACCTCGGGCATCAGGCTCCTGCCTCGGTGCCCAGCACCGCATAGGCCTGCCTCCTCCCCACCCACTCCTGCCTTCCCCGAGTCCCCCCTGACTCAGGGTGGGCCCTGAGTGCAGACACCCTCCACCCCACTCTGCAGCCTGAAGACTGAGGCCCAGGGAGAGCAGAGGCTCATCTGAGAAGGCCCCGAGCCCCAGTCCTCGGCCTCTGCCCGAGTCCTCTCTCTGGGAGGCCCCTGCCTCAGGTCCTCATGGCTGCCGGGATGATGCTTACCTCTTCTCTTTCCCATTCTCCGTCCCTCCGTCCCTCCCTCCTTCCGTTCCTCCCTCTCCTTTCTCCCTCCCTATCTCCTCTTCCTCTCTCTCTCTCTCTCTCTCTCTCTCTCTGGCCACACTTGACAATGCTTGCCCAGGGATCTCTCCTGGTGGTGCTCAGGCGACCACAGGGGTGTGGGGAAAGGAAGCTGCTCTGTGGCTCGCCCCAAGGGCTCCAGCTTCCTGACTCTCCCAGGCCCAGGGGTTGTTTCCGCCTCACTCAGCCAGAATGCGGCCATGGCAGCTTGGCAAAGCCTGATTGGTTTTGGGTTTGGGATACACATCTATTAGTGCTCAGGGGCTATTCCCAGCTATTCTGAGGCAACACTTTGGTGCCTGGGATGGAATCTGGGGCCCCATACTCGCCAGGTGGAGCCTCTTCCATATATATATATATATATATATATATATATATATACACACACACACATATATAATTTTTTCAAAAGAACTACCTGGGCTGCTTCTTAAATAATTCTTCCAGATTATTTTATGTAACCACCATATTTTCTGGTGGTTACCTGGTACCAAGGCTGAACAAACTTTAAAAAATTTATTTTGGGGCTGGAGCAATAGCACAGCGGGTAGGGCATTTGCCTTGCACACGTCCGACCCGGGTTCGATTCCCAGCATCCCATATGGTCCTCCAAGCACCGCCAGGAGTAATTCCTGGGTGCAGAGCCAGGAGGAACCCCTGAGCGTTGCTGGGTGTGATCCAAAAAGCAAAAAAAAAAAAAAAAAATTTCAGTTTATTTTTGGGCCACACGGGTGGTGCTCATAGAGTCACTCCTGGCAGTGCTCAGGGGACCATGGGGTGCCAGGGAGCAAACCCAGGCCTCCCATATCCAAAGCATGGGCCCTGTCTGGAGCTGTCTCTAGCCCCCCACACACTTTTATTCCTTCCTTGTAGTTTGAGGAGATAATAGGTTTTCTTTTTCACAGGGGGTGGGGGGGTGTGCACACCGAGTGATGCTCAGGGGTGACTCCTGGCTCTGCACTCAGGAATTACTCCTGGCGGTGCTCAGGGGACCTTATGGGATGCTGGGGATTGCACCCAGGCCAGGCCGCATGCAAGGCGAAAGCCCTCCCCACTGCCCTATGGCTCCGACCCCGATAATGGGGGGGGGGGTCTTGTGATCAGGAGGCAGCTCGCAGTTGGCCTGCCATGTCCGAGATGAACTCGCCCCTGAGCCTTCCCTGCGACGCTGCCTCCCAAGGGGGCCAGAACCCCAGTTCCAGGGGCTGGAGCTCTGCCTTCACATACGGGAAGCCCAGACAGACTCCAGCCCTGGTACCACACACACAGTTTTCCTGGGCCCTGAGCCAGGAGTAGCCCTGAGCACTGCAGGATGTGTCCCTCCCAGTAAAAAAAGAAAAACCCTCAGTGGGCATCTGCAGATCTACTTAGGGCCTATCAGAGGCTGCTTTTCTCATTGGATGGAGGGAAGAGAAGATGGGATGGGGGTTGCAGGGGGTGTCAGCATTGGGGGCGGCTGTGCGTTTCAGGGGAGCAGGCTGGGCGGCCCCACCTTCCTGCGGCCGTCCTCCTCGTCGTCTGTCCGAGGGCACGCCTGGTCGTTGGGCAGCGGGCTGACCAAGGGGGACGCCTGCTTGGCGTCGGGGCTCAGGTTGGGGGACAGGATGGCGTTGGCGGGCGCGGCTCCTCCCTGTGAGCTGCCGGAGCGCTCTGAAAGGTGAGGGCTACCGGTCAGGGCGCCTGTTTGGGGATAAGACAGATGACAGGAAACACAGGCAGAGAGCGTTCCGGCGGGGGCCCGCGGCGAGGCCCGACACTTGCCTTCCCGCTCCTCCGGCGAGCCTCTCACCGTGTCCCAGGGCTGCTGGGTGCTTTGTCTGGTTCAGTCATTATTATTATTATTATTGTTAATTTTCCCTAAGGTGCAACTGCTGCCTTACTCCAAAAAGAGCCCTTGGGACCCACGCTTCGTCGGACCTCGGGGACACGAGGCACGAGAAGGCAGCGACCCCCGAGCCCCCGGAGTGTAGAAGCAGAGCCAAGAGCCCACTAGAAGCGTCACCTCCAAGCTAGCTACTGCCTAGACACAGCCACCAGGGCACCCTACCACCAGGAGACACGGGAACGGCTACAGGAGAGCTATACTACGAGAAGGCAGACACGGGAGCACCTAGGACCGTCTAATCTGGAACCCGCGGGGCCGGCCGAGACGCGGCCACCCCATGCGACAGAGACAGAAGCGTTGGTACCTGGGGTTCGGCGCCTCCCCGCACACGCCAGAGGACAGGAGCGTCAGCCAGCACCGACACGGGTCCCCGCTGCAGCCGGGGCAATTTACCACGAATCCCTTGGCCAAGTCGGACAGTGAGAAGTGAGTCAGGACCGTTTTTTCTCCGCAACCAGCGGACAGAAGGTTTCGAAAAGGGGGCGCCTGCCCCGCGAGGGAGAACAAGTCGTCGAAACCCAGACACCGTTTATACAACGCTGCCCGCCGGAGCGAGGGGCCTCAGGACAGATGTCTGCCCCGACGACGTGTGTGAGGGGGAAGCCGTTAGAATCCGAGAGCCGTTTGTTAAAACTCATGCTAGGGTTGGGCCTGCCCCGCCCCCTCCCCCTCCCCCCCAGTCCCAGTTTCTCAGCGCTAGGGCTGAGTGAGCCAGGGATGGGGTTGTTGGCGGAGGGGGGGGTGTCTGTGTTCCAGGTGCAGCCCTGTTTTCTGGACCACTCCTGGCTCCCTTAGAGAAAAAGAGAGAGAGAGAGAGAGAGAGAGAGAGAGAGAGAGAGAGAGAGAGAGAGAGAGAGAGAGAGAGAGAGACTGGGGGTAAATTTGAACCCTGGGTGAACGGTGGGGTGAAAAGTCCCCAAAATCAACCAAAAACAACAACAACAACAACAACAAAAGTAGACGTGTGGTCCTCCGGCTGTGGGTCAGTACAAGGATCTCTGAAGAACCAGACAAGGACAAATACGATTCTAGAAGGCAGCTTTCTACACACTGTCCCCCGCCGCGAAAGGCTGACGTTTTAGGGTGCTTCATTGAGATGAAGTCCCGGAGTGACACACAGACCCAGTCACCCCCACACACCACCAGACCCAGTGAAACCTGGAGAAAAAGGCCAGAAATCGCTTCACACATGTCAATTTTATTGACTCTGGTGGAGACAACCGAGTACAGTGATTTTGTGAGAACCGGAACCTGTCCAGGGGGAAACAGCCGACGAGAGAACCACAGTCGTGTCAGGGGGGCCACACACGTCTTTCATGGGGAGAGGAAAAGAGAAAGCTCTCACACACACACACACACACACACACACGGATGCACACGCACACATGCAGGCACATGCACACGCTCACACACGTATACACACACACACACGCACACAAGAAAGAAAAATCAGCGTCGTTACAAATAGGAACTGGAAGAGAGGAGCCTGGGGCCAGCAAGGAGGCCATGGCCGGGCGCTGGTGGGCAGCGGCTGGAATCCCTGGGTTGTGTCCACTGCAGTCTGGCAGGAGCAAAGCGCTTACCTTCCGGCCACTCGCGGGCAGAGGCGTGGGGGCTGCCACCAACAGCAGGCGGGGCTGGGGGTTTGCAGCAAGGGGCACAGACAAAGTCTCGCCTTGTCATTCAAAGAGTTGGAGCGAGGAATGAAAAGCAGTTAGATGGGGGAGAGGGGGGTGTGGGGAGATGGGACAGCGGGGAGGGCATTTGCCTTGCACGCGGCTGATCAAGGTTCGATTCCCAGCATCCCACAGGGCCCCCGGAGCATGGCCAGGAATAATTCCTGATTGCAGAGCCCGCAGGACAAACAAGCAAGCCAAAAAAAAAAAAAAAGGCAGGGGGTGGGGGACAGCACCCAGTGAAGTCCAGCCCCGTCACAGAGCTAGGGAGAAACAGGGCTCAGGGAACCGCGTGGCCGCCCATCCGGGCTGGACGCTGTGGCCTGTGATTCTCAGCCCTGCCCGGGATTGTGGGGTGGGCTTTACCGCGGCACAGACCCCAGGAGTCTAGTGCCAACAGGGCTCAACTCGTCATCGGGACGTGTGGGGACACGATTTGGAAATAAGAGCCAATCCCGGGAGGGATGGTTCCCAAGGAGTCAGAGAGCGTGCCCGCCGGCTCTCCGTGTGCTTGCGTGTGTGTGCGTGTGTGAGATACTGAAGAGCGTGCCCGTTGGCTCTCCATGTATTTGTGTGTGCATGCTTGTGTATGTGTGATGCCTAAGTGTGTGCCCGTCAACTCTCCATGTGTTTGTGTGTGCGAGCATGCATGTGTTTGCATGTGTATACGTGTGTGTGCGTGTGTGTGAGATGCCTAAGAGTGTGCCCGTCTCATGTGTGTGCTGTGCGTGCATGCACGTGTGTTTGAGTGTGTGTGCGTGCCTGTGCGTGTGTGTGCGTGTGTGTGTGTGTGTGATGCAGACAGTTGGGGATGGTGAGGTTGGGGCGCCATTCTCCTGTCTTGCGGAGGTGGCCTCTGGAGAGGGGGAACCACAGGGCAACGGGGATGGGTCACGCTCAAGCAGCCTGGGAGAGGCATGGGTTCGCCACGGTCTGCAAGGCCACCGCAGAGCACTGTGGGAAGAGCCCAGGGCCTGCTGTCTCTCCCCAAGGAAATGACTGGGTCCTGGGAGAAGCCATGGCAGAACAGAGAGCGGTGTGCAAGCAAATACACTCTGGGCAGAGTCCAGTGGCGGGCAGCTGCCCGAGAAGTCTGGATTCCGAGCAGGGCGCATGAGGCAAGCTGTCTTGAGGGAAGGTTCCAGGAGAGCCCCCGGGGCAGGCGGCAGGAGCTGGGAGTAAGGAAGCCGCCAGGGTCTAAAGCTGACAGCAGTGAGAACTGTACAGAACCAGTTTTCACAGGAGCAGCCCATATCCCCCCAAAACAGCTGCCTCTTCCGATGGCACAGGCTGGACACAGCCCTGGGGACAGACGACACTGTGGTGGACAAGCCACTAACGTGGCAGGCCACTAAAGGTGGGAGGGGTGTGTGTGTGTGTGTGTGTGTGTGTGTGTTTGTGTGTGTCCTCCTGCCCATTTTTTGGGTCACACCTGGAGGTGCTCAGGGGCCCATGCAGTGTTGGTGAAAAAACCCAGGCCTCCAGCATACAAAGCATGCATTATGTCTCCAGCCCAGGAGATGCACACGTGTGTGTGTGTGTGTGTGTGTGTGTGTAAAATGTTTTAATTTTTTCCCCCTATTTTTAGGACACACAAGCACTTTCTATAGCAAGGGGCTTTAAAAGGCAAATAGTATGGGGAGGAGGGTCTTCTGTAAAAAACAAACAAACAAACAAACAAACCCTGGATATCGGGCTGGGAGAGAGTACCGAGAGCAAGGTGCTTGCCTTGCAGGCGGCAGACCCAGGTTCGATCCCCAGCACCCCACAGGCTCGCCAGAGCACCACTAGGAATGACCCCTGAATGCAGAGCTTGGAGTAAGCCCTGGGCACTGGTAGATTGACTCCAAAACCAAAAGAAAAAAAAAACGAAAATGAAAGGGAAAAACTGGATATTACGGTCACAATAGGTGAAAGCAGCCTCAGCCCTCAAGTGGTGACAGTTCCGAGCTGCAGGTCTGAAAATTCTGCTTCCTCCAAAGATGACGTCTGTCACTGCTAGATCTAACCCTTCGTTCTCCACAGTTATTTCAAAGGCACAAGTCAGTCACAGGTCTGGTTAATAACTCACAAACTCTTCCCCTTCTCCAGATGATTTTGGGGGCTTCCTTCCGCACCCGCCCCAAAACCCTCCTGGCTCTTCAGCCCCACCTGGCGGCGGCTGGATTGGATTCACCCGCTGCCCTGGAAATGCTTTGAACTAGTGTCCAGGGAGGCGTTTTCAAATGCTTTTCAATGAACTCATTCTTGTGGCACAAACAATGATGGAGGTTCAAAGGCGCGCGGCCCTGTTGATGGATTCTGATTCATCACCCAGCCCAGAAACGGCAGAGCTTCTCTGTCCTGGCAGACTTAAGAGGACGGTCATCATTCTGCCCTCTGGGCCACTCTGGGGACGCTACACACACAGAACCATCCAGACAGAAATACGTCTGGGCCCGATCCCCTTCAGAGGGACTCTAATAGTTTTTGACCAGGACCCCGAGGATTACACAGCAGGTAGCACGCTTGCCTTGTGTGCAGCTGACCTGGGTTCGATCCCTGGCATCCCGTAGGATCTCCTGAGCCTGCCAGGCTTAATTCCTGATTGCAGAACCAGGAGTGAGCCCTGAGCATCACCAGGTGCGCCCACCCCCGACCCCCGACCCCCTGCGTTTATGACCAACTTGGCAAACTCAGACCCCTCTGACTCCACGAGATCTGGGATTAAGTGGGCAGAGTAGGACAAAAGTTTGCTTCCCCTTTTTGCCCACAATGGGCGGTGCTCAGGACTTACTACTCCCTAAGACAAAAGTCTTAAAAACAAACACACACCGGCGCTCACGGGAAGAGAACTTCCTAACTAAATCTAGTTTTTGAGTAATAAAAACCAGTATTTCCAATACTTAGTTCTATCTGTCCTGCGTTCTATACTGACCCATTGATGGATCATCATCAATTTTTTTTTGGGGGGGGGAAGGGACCATTCCCAGAAGCATACTCAGGGCTTACTCCTGGCTCTGTGCTCAGGGATCACTTCTGGTGGTGGGCTCAGGGTACCATAATGGGTGCTGGGAATTGATTTAGAGAGTCTGCCATCTGTAAGTGCCCCACTCCACTGTACCACAATTTTGGCCCCT